GCTTCACTACCTTTCCGGACCTCTCGGTGCGTCTTCTATCAGCCTCAACGGTGTGGGTCCTCGGGGGTGAACTGCGGATCCCCAAGATGAGGAGGACGTCACCAGCCCCGCTCCAGACCCAGAGCCCAGCACAGACTTCATGCCTGGACCGCAGACACTGAGCCCCAGCCCACCACGGAGAAACACCAGAGCCGACGCCAGAGCCAAACCTCGCCTGAGTCCAACGGGTGCGTGAGCCGCTTACATCATCCGCTCCTGCCGCTGTGGATGAGTTGCGACTGGCCTCTGGAAATTATTTAGAGGAATTGGAAGAGGGAATTCCCTGTTTCTCCGGTCTCCTGTGTCTCCAGAGTCCATACGTTCCTCCGGCTCCACCTCGATCCTCCGGCTCCACCTCGATCCTCCGGCTCCACCTCGGTCCTCCGGCTCCACCTCGGTCCTCCGGCTCCCCCTCGTTCCTCCGGCTCCACCTCGGTCCTCCGGCTCCCCCTCGTTCCTCCGGCTCCACCTCGGTCCTCCGGCTCCACCTCGTTCCTTCGGCTCCACCTCGATCCTCCGGCTCCACCTCGATCCTCCGGCTCCACCTTGATCCTCCGGCTCCACCTCAGTCCTCGATCCTCCGGCTTCACCTCGATCCTCCGGCTCCACCTTGATCCTCCGGCTCCACCTCAGCCTCGATCCTCCGGCTCCACCTCGATCCTCCGGCTCCACCTTGATCCTCCGGCTCCACCTCAGCCTCGATCCTCCGGCTCCACCTCGATCCTCCGGCTCCACCTCGATCCTCTGGCTCCACCTTGATCCTCCGGCTCCACCTCGGTCCTCCGGCTCCACCTCGGTCCTCCGGCTCCACCTCAGTCCTCCGGCTCCACCTCGATCCTCCGGCTCCACCTCGGTCCTCCGGCTCCACCTCGGTCCTCCGGCTCCCCCTCGTTCCTCCGGCTCCACCTCGGTCCTCCGGCTCCCCCTCGTTCCTCCGGCTCCACCTCGGTCCTCCGGCTCCACCTCGTTCCTTCGGCTCCACCTCGATCCTCCGGCTCCACCTCGATCCTCCGGCTCCACCTTGATCCTCCGGCTCCACCTCGGTCCTCGATCCTCCGGCTTCACCTCGATCCTCCGGCTCCACCTTGATCCTCCGGCTCCACCTCAGCCTCGATCCTCCGGCTCCACCTCGATCCTCCGGCTCCACCTTGATCCTCCGGCTCCACCTCAGCCTCGATCCTCCGGCTCCACCTCGATCCTCCGGCTCCACCTCGATCCTCTGGCTCCACCTTGATCCTCCGGCTCCACCTCGGTCCTCCGGCTCCACCTCGGTCCTCCGGCTCCACCTCAGTCCTCCGGCTCCACCTCGGTCTTCCGGCTCCTCCACAATCCTCTGGCTCCACCTCGGTCTTCCGGCTCCACCTCGATCCTCCAGCTCCAACTCGGTCCTCAATCCTCAGGCTCCACCTCGATCCTCTGGCTCCACCGCAGTCCTCCGTGACATTAGTGTTTATATAGTTTAAGTTTATATAGTTGATGTACTTTGAAGTTTATATTTGTTTAGTTTATGCTGTTTGCATAATTTATCTATGTAGTTTGTATATTATTTTATTTAGTTAGTTAATATATATGCAAAAGTATTCAGTAACTCCATGTGCAATATAACAGATTTTATTAAAAAATAATTCAGTGTGAAATAATGTCAGTTGATTTGACTGGTTTGGTCGTTTCAGCATCATGGCGTCCGCGGCGCCTCAGAAAAGGATGGTGTCGTCTGTCTTCATCACTCTGTCGTCTCCGTTCAGGGCGACCGTCACCCCGACGGCTCAGGTCCACAGCAACAGCCCAACGCGAGAGCAGCCGCGGCTACGGAGCTCAGCATCGCATGAGGAACGGATCAGCCCGCTGTACGCCCATCCCACCGCCGCCCCCTGCAGGCGGGACAGCACACGCACACCGGACGGTGAGGAGCGCTTCACTACACCAGTTCAAAGCAGCTTCGCACGACATCATGCTCATGATTATAGTCGCATTTAGCAAGTTAGAGCTGGGCAATAATATATTTTGCGCAGTTGAGATTGCTGATTGATTCTTGATCTGTTAGTGTTTGTAAGCAGTAACCCTGATGACCTCCCTCCTCCATGTGACCCCTACGACCCCGAGCCCAGACCCCCGGACGCCCCTGCAGAGGTCAGTCTGTCAGAGAGATCGGCGCCCCCTGCTGGAGGGATGGTGAACGAGCCGTCAGCCGGACCTCACTGCACCGGTGAGAATCCTCCTGATAACTGGAATAATCCTGTAAGAGAACAGTTGTTCAGAGCTACGTGTGTGTGTGTGTGTGTGCGCCTCAGATGTGTGTGGGTTCTGCCGTAAGCTGGTGCCGCTGTCTGAACCGGCCATCGACGCTCTGAACCGCACGTACCATGCCTCGTGCTTCCAGTGCCGGCAGTGCCACGCTCCACTGGCTGCCAGACTCTACTACACTAAATCTGGGATTCCTCTGTGTGAGGACTGTTACCAG